TCATAATTGCAAGCCAGGCACCTGATTACCCAAATCATGATCACGTTATTAAAGGGATGCTGTGATGGCCAGAATTTTGAGGATCAATTGCAACAGCTGCAATTTCAATGACCAGTTGTAAGTCCATCTTTCAGTACCACCATAACTCTGAATGAATGGAATTAGCTGGGGATTATTGTAAAGTAAATCAAAGAACCCAGTGTGTCCTATCATGCATTATAAGCCCTATGGAATAATTCAGTTTTCAAAAATCTCCAGAAAATTAAACCTGTGAGACAATCAGGCTGCTTTGGGAGGGCTACGCCATAACAGAGGTATTGCTACTGAAAACTAGGACTTAGGAATTTCCGCATGTAAGGGAAAAAGAGAGAGCATTTCAAAACATGGCAAACTAAGAGCTGATAAACATCACTGGGAAATGATTTCAGACAATCCATTTGGATCCGAAAGTCTACTAGCACAGGCCAAGCCTAATGTAACACCCTCTGTATTTAGATCATTGAATTAAAATATGACCAAAGCAGAGAAGGATGGAAAGGGTGTGGGAGGGTGGGACTGAGTATGTATTAAACTCAACACAGCAGTACAGCATTACCTTTGATTCAGATCACATGCATTGCTTAAACATAAAAATCCCATCTTTTGTTTGTTGAACATACATATAAGAGAAACCCAGGATATATTGGACCCTGAGCTTTACATGTGAATTAAATCCTTTACAATAAAATCTGTTCAGGTGATACCTTGTTCAGTCATATTTTCAAGTAAACAAACGTACAGCTTCATATATATATACACTAAGTTACAGATGTACAGGGCGGGGCATAACCTTTTCCTAGGGGGTCACAGCAANGGGGGCAATATGCTGACTCTGTAAACTGCTTAGAGAGGGCTGAAAGCCCTATGAAGCGGTATATAAGTCTAACTGCTATTGCTATTGCTAAAAAGAATTCAGTCCATTATGTCTCTTGAGTATGATAAATCCCAAACGTAACACTCACTAATTTAAAATGAAATCAATAAAATGCAGTTTTAGTTCTAATAATTATTTCCCATTAGGGTAACAGAGCAGTAAAGAATAGTAAACACTTAACAAGCTTTACTTGACAAAACTGATGATATCTGAAAGGTTAGAAGTTGCATTTGACAGACTGTTAACTATCAGAAAGATTAGGAAGCTATATTGCTATAGAGAAAAGAGAATCTACACTAGGTGTACGATATATGAAAAAAAACACAATAGTGGAGATAAAAGGGAAAAGAACAAGGGACCAATGGTATGTGTGTGTGAATAATAAGAAATAATGGAAGAGAATCACAGAAAAAAGTTACTTATATTAGGATGAGAAATCTAGATCTGAAGCGAAAAGCAATAGTGTGAGATCAGAACATTTATTGGAAGGAGAAAGAATCAATAACTAGTTTTTCCCATATACTATAAGAAAATTGCTGATCTGATTGCTGCCATCAGAGAGCATGGTTCTTGCAACTACATCCGGAGATGTTTTCAAGAACAAATTCATTCTATAAGGTTCAAAGATGCCTAAAAATATACTTGACGTATATTTTCTTAAATGTATGGAACCTAATTTACACTGTCATAATTATGACTATAAAATTTTATGAGTTAAAAGAAGTGTTTTAACTATAGCATAAGAAAAGGTTAATATTGGAACTTATCAGTATCAGCATTCACTAAAAGAAATATGTGGATTAGAGGTTTTGATTGCTTTTATTCCTGTTATTTTGAGTTACTAAATAGAAATTTAAAAACGCAAAATAATAAACGTGAATAAAAGTGATAGTTGAAAGTATTCACGGGAATTTGTATAAATCGAAATGATATATCCTCTTAGACAATCCTATGCTTAAGATTGCATACCGGAAACATAAAATAGAGAACTGAAATATTTGATTGTAAATGTGTTAACAGCAGCTAGAATTGTATTTGCTAAAAATTGGAGAAGTGAGAAAATACCAATGCAGCAGGAAATTATTCATAAAATAATGGAATGTGCTGAAATGAGTAAATTGACATTTGAAATTAGAGAACAAGAAGATAAACAATTTTATAGGATATGGGATTTANATTTATTTATTTATTTATCATTTATATTGGAGATGGTGGCCCTTTGAGACCCCCGTATGCAATGAAATTTCTTTTTAAAGTATGCCGATTTGTGTACATTTAAAGTGACAATAAAGTTAGTCGAAGTTTAACCATCTATATGAATATATCTGAATACAAGAGTGATACATAATAATATATACACATACATGCCATATAAGGATGAAAAAATACACCATTTCTATTTTTATAACGAGCTATCCAGAACAGTAAATAATTTATGTTAACATAATTAATTCAGAAATATTTAAAATTATGACCAGTATGTGATCACATCTCTCAGTATATCCTACAACTGTTGCAGCAGAAGTACAGAAAGTAAAAATAATATTTTGTTTTGGGTGGATGAAAAAATATCTTTGCTTTGTTGCAATTATTAGAAATTTAGTTATTCTTTTTATTTATTCTCTCTTGTTCATCATTAAGAAACTCATGAAATTTAATTCAGTTGCAGCAAACCATGCTTCATTGATTTTGTTTCTAAAATTCTTTTGATAATGAAAGTTTTATGCAAATTGTATCTTGTTTTTAGCATAATAATGTTGCATCTAGGCAAGTTTGTAGGAACCAGACAACAATGCAATGAAGAAAATAACTATTACAATAAAGCAGTATCAAAACGATATCATTGTAAAAAAAAAAATAGCCTAGAAACTTAACTACAATGGAATAGTGGCCCCTCTTGCCTGCTGGAGATAATTAGAAATAGAAAAAGAAGGAACATCAGAACACGTAAAGCAAGTCACATATATTTAAAAAATACTATATGTTGCATTAAATAAAATTTCTTTAAAAAATAAGGTTTTAGGATCAATCAATTTTTACACTCACTCACATCAAGCCAATGACCCTGGCTCTATTGACAGTGAATATTGTTATGTTGAGAAACTTTTGCAAATTAGTGTTTGCCATGTATCTTTGAGTTGATTTTCGCTTTCCTCCTCCATCTTTTCCTATNTTGAAAGCTCACTAGTAACTGTTCTGACCCCCCTCGTCCCACACCAACACACACTCCAAGCCAAAGATAAGTTACGGCATTTAATTAACAGACAGACAGGTCCTTGGCAGCAAACCGGCACAGACAAGCTTGGACAGCAGTCCAGCACAGATAAGGGTTGGCAGCAATCCAGCCTGCCAAGCTCACCGTAATGTTCTCCGACATTCGTTCCTGCATTGATTTCTGCAAAAGGGGCATATGCACAAGCAGTCTTTTTATAGTCTGGAGAGGAGCCTAATGACCACCAGCTGAGTGCAATTACCTCCTGTAATTGCGCAACTGTTCTTGATGCCTAGTAGCTCTTCGGTGCCGTGCATCCAGGAACAGCTCACTGCTGGCGTCCAGATCACTCTCCCTTGTCTCCTCCCCTCTGGTCCAAGGCTCAAGCACCTCCTGGTGGCCAACCAGCCTCTTTGCGCCCTGCTCAGAGTCGGAACCCTGTCCAAGGTCCTCCACATCCTCCAAAGCCAACTCATACAGTCCCTCACTGTCGGAGTCTGGTGGCAGCTCCAACGGCTCCTGCTGGGCCACAACAGTAACCCACATAGAACAAAATGCTGTCCCTGCAACGGAGGGGCTACTGCATTTTGTATCAACTGCAGCTTCTAGATAGTCTTTAAAGAAAGCCCCAAGGAGAGCGCTTTGCCAAATCTATTTTAGAGATAATGAGGATGTGAATATATCTTGAGATAAGATGCACAGATTTGGAAAAAAATATAAATTTCTCCATGTTTTAACGTAATCAAAAACACAATGAACATACATATTTGACAATTTATTAAAAGCAAGTGGTTTCATCTTTGAATCTCTTTCTTAGTAGTAATTATTTCACTTTATTTTTCAGGTCTTTCACATTTCTTATCAGTTTATTTCAACTACTAGGAATTTAAACCCATTTCTAAATTATTCTCAAATTTGATTTACCACATCCCAGTAAAGGACTACTTCTCTGAAAGCTTCCTATTAATATTATCTTATTTTTATTTATTTATTTGTATCTCACCTTTCTTACTTTTACAAATAACTCATAAGGGAACATATCCAATATATCTTTCCATCTTCTATTTTCCCCATAACAATAACCTGGGAGTTGGGTTAGGCTGAGATACAGGACTGGCCCGAAATCACCCAATTGGCTTTTCTTGGCTAAGGCAGGATTTCAACTTATGGTCTCCTGCTTCTAAGCTGATGTCTTAACCACTAGACAAAACTACTTTTTAATGTTTTAATATTTAATTATTTTATTTTTTAATTTCAATGTGCATTTTTTTTTTACAAAACTACTTCATGCAATCATTCTATTTTTCTATCTTTGGCTAGACAAGGATAGACTCCCATAGGATGACTTCTAGGGTTTACATGCATGTAGTTTTCTTGAAGTCATTCCAGATATGATTTGTCATTACCTGTTTTGAGATGTATATTGAATGCCAGTGATGGGCATTCTTTTTTTTATATATATAAATAAATTTTTTGAATAAACACAAACAGACAACACACACACACACAAAAAACACAAAACCATCTTCCATTACAAATTGTAGAAAGTGTGTTACAAAAACGTCCCTGCATCTCTTCCAAAGTCATCACCTACAATTCATATCAAATCATATATTTTAAATCAAATATGTATGTATGTATGTGTATGTATGTATGTATGTGTATGTATGTGTGTGTGTGTGTATATATATATGTGTGTGTGTGTGTATAGATATAGATATAGATATAGATATATAGATATATAAAACTATCATCATACCTCAACCTTCATTTGACTATAATTGTTTTTATGTCCTTTTGTATAAAATATTCCAGATTTAAAGCAAAACCACATAATGGCATTCCATTAGCTCTTCCCAATATCATCCAGTAACATTACATCTTTATAACATGTTCTAAATNTCTGGTGAAGGCGTCCTCGATGATGGAGCCGTCCAGGTCAGGGGAATAGTTGACCACCCTGGCAAAGAGTGGGGGCTCAGAGGCTGCCAGAGTGCCAGGCGCCCTGAAGCTGCCCCCCCTCTCCAGACACACACACACACACACACACACAGAGGAAAGTGTGCAGGGCTGCCGCTGAGTGTGTGGGGCAACCTTCCCCAATCTGCTGCCCTCCACCCAGGAATCTTGGGGTCCCCTCCACTTGCAGTCTTCCACGAAGGCGGGGGGGGGGGATGGGCTGTGTCCGGTGAAGCTGCGCGCTCACTCACCGGTAGGTGAGGTCCGTGTGGTCCCACTTGAGGTCGCCCGGGAAGGTCTGGAAGCGACCCACGTCCGGGACTCCGCAGCGGGGCGCCCGCACGGCCGCCATGGTGGAGGCGTCCAGCTCCCCTGTTTCCGGCAAGCCCAGCTGCTTCTGCATGGCCCTGAGGGGGGTCTCCAGCTTCACCTGCCCCCCGGGGGGGATCCCCGTCAGGTACCCGTAACGCTGGAGGTAGAGCTGCGGAGACAGAGGAGGGGCGCTAGCGGGGGGGCTCCTGGGCGGGGATGGGCCAAGCGGCGGGTGGGGGGGGCGGCCCTTGTGGTGACCTCCTGTCTTGTCCTTCAGCCCAACCCTCATCCCGTGACCGGATCCCCCGGGGCTCTCCGGGCCTCCCCAGGGGACAAAGGAAGAGCCGGCTGGGAGTCACTGGCTTCCTACAGCGGCGCCCACGCGGGGTCCGCCGCTGGCCTGCCTCGGGCCAGCGCAGCGCAGCGCCAGTTAAAAAAGCGCCCGGCGCCAGCGGGGGACTAGAGGCAACCGGGCGCCCCGCAGGGATCGCGTCGCCCCGCTCGCCCTCCCGCCCCGCTCGCTCTGGCGAAGTCCGAAGGGCGGCGGGGAAAGGAGGGTCTCTGGCCCCGGAGATAGCGCAGCTCGGAGACTCACGGTGGCCAACTGCCGCTCCGTCAGGCGGCTGACCGCGTCCCCGGGGAAGTTGACGACTACGGGGCCCTTCCCCTGCAGGGCGGCGGCCCAAGCGCAGGGCAGCGGCGGGAGCGCCAGGAGGAAGAGGAGGGTCGCGGCGGGGACCCTCATGGCTGCTGAGGCGAGGCGGGCGAGGGTCTCGGGTCTCGGGCTGGGCGCGTCTCTCCTTCTCTGCTCTCGGGTTCTGCGGGAAGCGCGGAGCTCAGGCGAGCCCAGGAGTCTGCAGCCCGACCGCCGGCGGGGCCCTTTATGGTCCTCGGGGAGAGGGAAGGGGGGGAGGCTGAGTCAGCCGCGGTCCCTCCCCCCCCCCGGGTGGAAGAGGGGGAGAACCGGCGGGCGCTGCCACTTCCTGGACTTGCCTCAACAGGAAATGTGAAACGCAGCCGGGACCAGCCGCGGGTTCGAAGAGGGCAGCCGTCCGCCTCGACCGGGCTCGGACGCCGCTGCCGCAAGGAGCCAACGTCCCAGGCGCGCCTGGCTTCCCTGGCCCCAGTCCTTCGTGGGGCGGCATCAGGGCCCTTTAGGCGCTGCCCCAACTGCCACTCCCTGCCTCTGCTGGGGCAGGAAGGGATGGGGACCCTCAGAGTGAGGGGCTGGCTAGGAAAGGGCTCCTTGGGCTGCTCGCTGCACCAGGAGGCTGCCTGCCCAAGCCTCCAACCAAGGCCCATTGCCTGGGCATTATTCTGGCCCAGGGCCTCTTCTTCCTCTGGCCAAGCTCCCACCTAGGCCCAGGACCTGGGGGCCCTCAGGGGCAGCCCCTGCTCTTTCTTTTGGGAGAGGGACGGGACACTCCCAGAGCCCTTCCACACCACGTCCCCTCCATGAAGTGTGTGGGTGCCCCTCTCCTGGACGAAGAGCCTGGCACCTGAGGCAGCCGGCTGCCCTGTGAGGAGGACCCTGGCCGCTTTTGCAAGGAAGTTATCAGGAGGCACCCTGGATGGTTGGGGCTGCGGTGCTTTTGCCCTCCCAGCCAGCTCTCCCAAAGTCCCAGGGGGAAGGCAAGGCGGGGGGGGGGGGGGAAACGTCAACACACCTGTCCCCTGGCCGGGCACCCCTTGCTGGCTGAGACCTTTGTGTCCATTCTGGAAAGCCTGCAAATTGGGACTCCAAATGGGGGGGGGGAGGAGGGGGGAGCCCAGCAACCTGTGGTTTCCTCATGCTTAGCTGGGGGCGCTGAGCACAGCACGGCCTGTCCAGCCGCAGGTGCCGCAATCTCTGCTGACAGTAGCCCCTCTCAGCCCACCGACAATGCCAGAGCCCCTCCCCTCCAGAGGGAAGCAAAGCCCCCTCCCACTTGGAGACCTTGGCTTGGGAAGTTGAAAGCGCTCCGTGGGGCTCTTCCCTGCGTTGAAATACTTTGTAAAAGAGAGCACACCGGGAGGGCCACATACCCCCCCCCAATAACCCCATTGTCTGCCCAGGGTGGGCTTATTCTACAGCTCCTGAGGAGCCCCTGAGAGCTGAGAAGCCCTTGGGATCATCCTGTGACTCAAGAGGGGCAGGGAAGCCACCCCCCTCCTCCCCCAGTGACCCAACTGGAGTTTCCCTCTTCTGCTCCCAGACAGAGTGGGGGGGGGGAGGCCTGCCTTTGTCTCCCTGCTCCCTTCCATGGGTGTCTCATGGGAAATTCCCTAGATGGAAAGGGGGGGGGAGATGCGGGAGGGGGGAGTTTTCATGCCACCTGATGCCCAGCCTGTTCCTTGGGGCTCCTTGGCATGAAGCAGAAACCCGAGTTGTCCCTTGCCTGCCACATGGACAGTCTGGGCTCCTGCATTTATGTGGGGCTAGTGGTATGTGAAGGTGGTGGTGGCTTGTTCAGACAAGCTTTTCAAGGAGAACACGCAGGGTGACTCCGGTTGGGTATTCATTAACCCTAAAGCTGGGTTAACCGAGCACTGATCAACAGAAGAAGAGAGTTGGAAGGGACCTTGGAGATCCTCTAATCCAGTGTTTCTCAACCTTGGCAACTTGAAGATGTCCGGACTTCAACTCCCAGAATTCCCCAGCCAGCGAATGCTGGCTGGGGAATTCTGGGAGTTGAA